ACTCTTTTTTATCAGTCCAGTGTATTTTCATCTTTCCTCTATTTAATTCATGTAACGCAAGAAAATATGTCATGATCTTTTAAAAAAAAAATGCCATTCATATACTCACACTGTCACTGTCACTGTCGTATATATTTACCACTTACTTTTTTGGGGTGGTGTCGACAGGCGGTAGTTAGCCAGATGATTTTGGGCTGCAAGGCTAGTGCTGTCGCCACAAACGGTGCAGGTTAGGATGTTTAGTTTTGATGGGGGGGGGGGGGGGACTCCATCACCTAACGGGGGGTTGAACCCCAGGTCTATGGCATAAGAGCCCGGCTCCTCTTTTACTCATAATACAATTATAATTCATTCACCACAGTTGTAATTCATTAAAAAAACAAGTGTAATGATAATAACTCAACACTTGCATTCACTGTGACAGTTGCAATGTGATGAAGATGATGATGTCAGATGTTAATATAATAATACGGGGTGTTTGTAAAGTCTCACAACACTTTGTGTGTAGAACAAAACTGCAAATTGAAATTCATGTCATTTAAAAAATGTGCTCCACAGACAGGTGTGAAGGAATATGCAGTGAATGATGTTGCCTATTGGGGTAATTATATGCACTCACAACAGAATTATGTCAACAGAAATTGGATACATTTTTTGTGTGTTTTTTGTTTTGTTTATCGTTTAATTGTTTCCAAAGGGTGGTTGTTCAAAGCACTATAGCAAGATTTCTTGATAAACAACCTCCTAATCGCACTACGGTTAGAAATGTGTTGTTAAAGTTATAATGAATATTTCATATATAATTTTGAGCGTCCCTCAAAAACAGTGTTAGACAATAGCAGTGACTGTTGTCACTAATTTAATGACCCTTTTAACATCCGGGGGGCTTGGGTTCAAATCCTCAGTAAGGTTGGGGATTTTTTTTTTTTGTCAGGGGCAAAATAGAATCTTCACCTGCACAGTTGTGGCGACAGCACTAACCATGGGGCCTTAAATCCTCACGCGCAAAAAAAAACCCTACACCGCAGAAATGGTATAAAAGGACAGTGATCGGCAGTTGTTGTTTTTTTTTTTTTTAACACATTTTTTTAATAACGTCAAGCACTCTATTTTTTTCAATACATACAGAATGTATACAGTTTTAAACTGTACATTTAACACATTTTTTAATAACGTCAAGCACTCTATTTTTTTCAATGCATACAGAATGTATAGAGTTTTAAACTGTACATTTAACACAAAAGAAAAAGTCAGGATACTTCTACATGTGCATGCATTCAGTACAACAGATGCAAAACAATGTTTTAATTAATTTAGCACAGCATCATATGAAGTATTCCGCGCTTTCACCGCGGCGGCCGGGGTTCGATTCCCCGTTTGGGAAGAGCAAATTTGTTAACCCGGCTCTCTAGCGAAGTTGGTTAAACCTGACTTTCGCGGCGGCCGGGTGACGAACTCCTTGTGGTCCGGGTTCACTTCCGGGGGTAGGCAGAAAAGCCACATTTCTCCCAGATTAACGGTACCTATAATGGAATCAATGCCGAAGGGTTGCGATATCCATAGTACCGAGCCAAAGGGTTTACAACTCATGGTTTCTGGATACGTTAAAAAAAAATTTTTTAAAAAGAACGCGATATCCAGAATGTGCCCTGTCGGCTGGCCACCCAGATTGAGATTTTGTGATCTCACTGTGTCCATCCTCAAGATATCAGCCCAGAGGGGATAAAACGGAAGAAGGAAAGAAGCCACGGTAGAGCTGTGGCTAGACGTTCGCCTATCCTTCCCAAGATCAATGGCTCAAATGCCTATGGAATGAAATCCCCCCCCCCCCCACTTTAAAACAAACGTTGGCTTCTAGGTTGCCCCAGCCAAAAACAGGTTTTAGAAACTGTCCTGAGAAGTAAAGGCAGCCGGTTTGATGCTCACCACAGGTCTAAGTCGAACTTATTGTAATTACAATTTATATTTTGTAGCACTATTTCATTCGCAAATATTATAAACATTGTATATAAAACACGACAATTCTATTTATGTACGTATAATTTTTGTGCGTACGTTGAAACATACTTAATATGCACTCTACTGCACCAGTTGCGTAAACCTGTTGACCCTAGCAGTGTAGTTATCTTTCTTCATTTAATATTTATTGTGGTAATAAGTGCAAACTGCGCACAGGTCGTAACTCGAGGTGCATGTGTACAGGGTGTTTTACTGATGTTTTAAATGTTTTAAAAGTGGCTCTAGTACTTAGTTGACTTTACTGACATGACATCACTTGAACAAACTGCTTCTGGAGTTCCTCATGGGTTCAGTACAACGTGTTGGATGCTCCTGATAATGTTGTTCTATACGTTAAAATGCATGGAGGAGAACTGGCTCATAAACAGCATCGTCCGGACAGCTGGGGTATTTTGACCATTTCAAATGCCTGCTCTTGAACGGCGATGGAGGGTACAGATTTCAGATAACAAGGCAGAGGCAGATGTCAGCGAAGGCGGAAACAAGACATGGATGAACTGGTTATGAAAGCATGAGGGGCTGGAGAACTGGTTATGAAAGCACGAGGGGCTAAAGAACTTGTTATGAAAGCTCGAGGAGCTGGAAAACTGGATATGAAAGCGCAGGGGCTTCAGAAGTGGTTATGAAAGCACGAGGGGCTGCAGAATTAGTTATGAAAGCGCGAGGGGCTGCAGAACTGGTTATGAAAGTACGAGCAGCTGCAGAACTGGTTTTAAAAACACGAGGGACTGGAGAACTGTTTATGAAAGCATGAGGGGCTGGGGAACTAATTATGAAATCACGAGGGCTGGAAAACTGAATATGAAAACGCGAGGGGCTGGAGAACTGGTTATGAAAGCACGAGGGGCTGCAAAACTGGTTATAACATCAATGTATGCAGAAAATCGGCCACCGTGGCCGGCATGGGAGGCTAAGAACCAGGGAAGCCGACCTTCAGGGAAGCCTAGGGTCCCCTGAGAAGACAACATCCGACAGTCCCTAACTAACAGGGGACTGGAATGGAACAAAGCCAGACAGAAAACTGCTGACAGAGACGTCTGGCCATCCCTATGGCAAACCTCTACACCCCAAGGTAGAAGAGGAGCGACTAAGTCTATATATTATATACATACACACACATATATATATATATATATATATATATATATATATATATATATATATATATATATATATATGAGGCTGCAGCATTGTTTCTGAGAGATGTAGCCTTGCAGTACCATAATGGGCTTTCTCTCTTTGGTTTTATTTATCTGAAATGACCTATACTTCTGGTGTTACATTGCCGCCCACAGCGTCTCGCTCGCTTTACAGCAACATAGCGATAGAATGCTACAACGGTCACATGACTGGCTGGAAATGTATGGCGGACCACTAGGAAATTGCCGCAGACCGTCACTGGCTAAAGTACACTGCACATATTGAACTCGCTTGCTATGTGAATGTCGGCTCTGTGGCTAAGTCGATGCGAACGCTTCGTAATGCCGGGGTGCCAGGTTCGATCCCAGCTGCGGGCCAAGCGCCTTGCGTTGGTTTCGACAGTGGTATCAGTGGGCCGACCGTCCAGAGGCAAAGCCAAACTACTGGACGTGAATTGGCCTAGAGAAACCACACAACAGCTAGGGGCTGCTAAGGTTGGTTCTGCAACGTCCTGTAAAGGATACGCAACTAACCTTGCTATGTGAATATGATGAGTTTCATTGAGTCGTCTTTCTTGCCATTGACATGCCTTCGTGTGTTGCACCCACGTGGACAAAAGCCAGCACTTTTATATTGAGTGTGCTTCAAGTTCTGGTGGAAACTTTTGCTTTTATCTTCCATTTCTTGTTTTATTCGTGTTTCAGGACTTGAGTTTTGTGTGCACATCTGTTTAACAGATCTAGCTTACGTATATGCAGACTGCAGGTGTTATTTGTTTA